TAATAGTGAAAACATCTTACGATTCATGCCTTGCTAGTATGGAGTTTTTGTATTCAGGGAAAGAGGTTTTAAAAATAACAGCCCTTTAGGGAATATTCGCACGTTATTAATACTAACAAAAATTAAAACCTCGCGTAAGGGGTATTACGAGATGCACATATATTTTACTGACACATATTGTTCTTAACCTCAAGTATATTTCTTAAAATGCCTGGTAACTAAGGTTTTACAAGTTACTTTCTATGAGAACGCAGTTTTGCCGTGTTTCGTCTAAAGCAATTGAGTGTGTCCTGCTTATCGATTAGCTTATCATGGATGTAATTGAAGATGTATATGGCTAAAATATTACAAAAACATCAAACAACTGGCTAAAGACGTCACGAATTTTTTTCAATTTTTAGAAGTCAGGTGACACTGTGGACGTAGCCGCAATCTATTTATTGCGCCATTTAAAATGAAGATAAACACAGACATTTCCTGGGACGTTAGACATCATACTCACTTCCTGATTTTGTGCTTTAGTAGAAATAACCTTGATCGATTGGATAATGTAAGATGGAGCTGCGAACTACAATAACGATGGTTTAAATTTTATGTTTTTTTATGTCAGAACAGATAAATCTAGTAATTATTTTTTGGCAGCGATTTAAGTAAATTCCACTTGGATAAACAATTCTTTCTCCCGTTTTAAATTCTTATATGGACCTACACATTGAGAATCAGCGAGTGTTCTCGTGGAAGGCGAGACAAGTCCCGAGTTCGATTCTTATGTAGAGTCGAGTCAGAGACCACCTCACTGAGAAAACACACAAATTGAACTGTTGTATGCCCGGCCATGAAACACTGATAATGAGCAGTTGACCTATAAGCATGTTAACCCTAGTTTTCGGCAACTTTGGTTGTATGCTCTCCAGAGCGATGAGAAAGGATGCCAGTGAGCACTGAGACTAATAACATGTTAAAACGAATTTCTAGTGTAAAATCCAGCTATGGTTAAAAATAGATAAAGTAAAGTTTACGTACAAACGAGAAAAATTTCATTTTTTAAATTTTTATCTTATTATTCTTATTTATTATCTTTTTCTGTTTTTCTCTACTCAAGCCAGTGCCATAAGAGTACTGGTCACCTGAAGCCAAAAAGGAAGGCACCCGTTCTTAATTATTGCCTAAATCAATAGATGTTTTATATACAAAAATAAAATCATTCGTTTCTTCTGCCTTGTATAAGTTAATCAAGATTTTTCATATGACCCACTGCTGCTATTCTTTCTATTCGTAAAATCATAATAAATTATTTTCATTTCATTTCTTGATTACAAAATGTGTTTCAGAGAACTGAGGTGGATGTACATGTCCAGTCCAGCGTACTTTCAAATGACTCACTACAATTCGCTACAATCAGAACAACCATACTCCCTCAGGATGCCTCGAAAATGCAGTAATTCTACGCCCTATTACGTCATCCACATTTTGGATCAGTGCTCGAATACACGCGCACAATATAGTGGCCTGCTATGCGGGAAGTTCACAGCTTCCAGTATAACCGACATCGTGTCTTTCTTAATTTTGGGGAGAGGATATGTTGCTCAGAATTGTCATCTACTGTGTCTGTTACATTTCGAGGTCACTGCTTAGTACTCAATACTCTTACCATAAAATGAAATGATAAACAAAAAAAAATCTAAATAGAAAATAAAATTTATATGTCTTTAAGATAGTATAATCAAATTGGCGTATCGCTATCAAAGGCTATCCCCTATGAACAGGTTGACTAGTGGTAACAAACAGGAACGCCACCACGTGACTAAAGGTATAAAAGCGCGGAATTTTGAAAGTGCGTTCACTCAACTGCGGACAGATCTACAGCAACAGGAAGGACGTCGTGTGCTGCGTCCTGAATCAAGCACAAAGGACACGTGAGTCGACTCGCATTTCTCCGAATCTTTCCTCATCCTACGTCAACGCATCGCTCTTCGCCATATTGCACACGCAGACGTCTAAACGGTGGATTCGGTGTTTCTCTAAGCTGGCCAGCTACAACCTTCGCTTCTCCCCACGAGGAATCGTCGCTCAGGGATCTTCGCAGGATACTTCACCTTTTTGCTGTCGTGGGCTAGTCGTAGTGTCATTGCATTATTGCACGCTTTCCAGGTTTCTTTTTTATTACAGGTCCAGGAAGCAGACTGCAAACTGCTAGATAAGGTTAGAAAACTCATTAACTTTTTTTTCTTTCTGTTCACAGACTTCCAAGGCAGCGGGGCAGGGGGCAGCGTCCAGCGAGCACTGACATGGTCTGTCTACGAGGTGGCTGCCATAAGGTGCTTCAATGAGATGGAAACCCCTTAAAGGTAAGCCTAACTGCAGAGTACTGACATTAGTAGGAAAAGACATTAGTCCGTTTTTCGTTCTGTAAACAGAACTCGATTATGGCGATTCTTGAAGGTATATAATCTTTTTTGAGTTTGAGAAATGTAAAAAAAATCTATTTTCTTTATATTTACAGAGCATAGAAGACGATGAGCGCCACCTGTGGGACTTCGACTACACTCCTTAAGGTATGTAATCTTTTTTTTTTTTTTTTTTTTTGGATGTGGAGTTTAAGAAATGAAAGAAATCTAATCTCGTTTTTATTACTGCTTACAGGACATAGAAGATGATGAGCGCCACCGGAGGGACTTCGACTACACTCCTTAAGGTATGTAATCTTTTTTCTTTTTGGAAGTGGAGGTTAAGAAATGAAAGAAATCTAATCTCGTTTTTATTTTTCTTTACAGGACATAGAAGATGATGAGCGGCACCTGTGGGACTTCGACTACACTCCATAAGGTATGTAATCTTTTTCTTTTTGGAAGTGGAGTTTAAGAAATGAAAGAAATCTAATTTCGTTTTTATTACTGCTTACAGGACATAGAAGATGATGAGCGCCACCTGTGGGACTTCGACTGCACTCCTTAAGGTATGTAATCTTTTTTTTTTTTTGGAAGTGGAGTTAAAGAAATGAAAGAAATCTAATCTCGTTTTTTATTTCTGCTTACAGGACATAGAAGATGATGAGCGCCACCTGTGGGACTTCGACTGCACTCCTTAAGGTATGTAATCTTTTTCTTTTTGGAAGTGGAGTTAAAGAAATGAAAGAAATCTAATCTCGTTTTTTATTTCTGTTTACAGGACATAGAAGATGATGAGCGCCACCTGTGGGACTTCGACTGCACTCCTTAAGGTATGTGATCTTTTTCTTTTTGGAAGTGGAGTTAAAGAAATGAAAGAAATCTAATCTCGTTTTTTATTTCTGTTAACAGGACATAGAAGATGATGAGCGCCACCGGTGGGACTTCGACTTCACTCCTTAAGGTATGTAATCTTTTTCTTTTTGGAAGTGGAGTTAAAGAAATGGAAGAAATCTAATCTCCTTTTTATTTCTGTTTACAGAACACAACTGCAAGAAGAGGGCCCACATCTACACTTCAGCTACTACGACCAATCCTTGGTGCCAGCGAGTCCTGCCATGGTCTGTC